TACATATATGAAGACTATTCTAGCATTTTTGAGATGAATATTGTTTACAACTATTCACTCATGTACATGTCATAGATTATTGATTTTTTGCTTACAGCAATTTTATGACTTTCTGTAATAGTTATCCCATGAGGACGCGGTGTGTCAGTGTAAGATCACCCCGATGGCCAGTGGGTGATCTTACAATGACACACCAAGTCCGAATGGGATAACTATTTTACATCCCAGCTGTTCTAGATTAGAAAAAAAAACAATTTACGCTTCATAAAATTTAGTTTAGAACACCAAACAATCATTATCATATACTTTATATATTACTATATAGTATATACCCTTTATGAGCCCCGGACACAATGTTTAAATATGTTAAATTAACTGAGCGTCTGTATCCAGGCGTCCTGGTGTAGGGGTATGCATCGTGGGTCTATATGCTAAAGGTCTTGAGTTCGAATCCCAGCATAGACACTGGATTTTTTCTACATAAATTTTGATAGTTAGTCTTTTCCGTATAAATAATTCTAAGTTTTATTGTGGATTTGACATTGCCACCAAAATGTTACAGAACAAAGGAAAGCATGCAAAACAAAGAAACTCAAGCTAGGGTGATCTGGTAGGGGTGATCCGGCTCAGATCACCCCTGGTAGAACAAAGGAGCTGGGATGTAATGTCTATTTCCATTGAAGTTTGACACCTCTAAAAGCCACAATTAACAAGATAATTAGCAGATTTGTAACTTTTACATCAATGGATTGCCAAACTCATTTTGGCAGCTGTAGAACAATGTTAAAACATAAATTAAGTTCAAATTGAACTTCAAGTCTTATTTCTTAAAAGTATATCAGAGGAAAAGTTGCTATTTTGACCTCAAAAGTCTCATGGAACTAGAATATGTGTGAAAGCGGGTCAGATACTGAAATCCTTGGTTATTTTATGACCTGGGTAGGTCATTTACAAATCTCGGGTGAGCTAGTAAATACCTAGGTCACACCAGCAGTTGACTGTTATGAATGTACTAACCATTTTTGGAAGATTTAAATTTTAAGATGCATTGATGGTTGCATCCAGTTGTCAATGCATCTTTGGTTGTTAATGATTCACCTCTTAAAGGGGATATCCTAATGTAATTGTCAGTTGGTCAAAGCAGTTATATATATATTCAAAGAGGAGAAACGTTTGGTTTCCAAATACATTGTACATTCAATGATTGTGTGTAGTAATTGCTTTGATGATTAAATGATTAATTGTTGTTTGCTCAATGTTCAGTGGCAAATATTTCATGCAAATTTAGGACAAGAACAAAAACCAATAAGTCCTATAGGTTAGCAGTGATAAGTTATAATATGTGAATGTTTTTTTATATCTGTCAGACACCTACTTCCTGTTTTCAGATGATTGCAGCTTCCCAATTGTGAACTTTCCATTTCTATGTAGCAACATTCCAGCAGCACCTGCATATGGATTATATATCTCCCATTTGATTAGATATTCCATAGCTTGCATTTCTTTTCATGATTTCCTTGATAGAGGGTTGCTGCTTACAAGGAAGCTGTTGAACCAAGAGTTCTAAGTGGTGAAGTTGAAATCATCCCTTCGAAAATTTTACAGACACCATCACAATCCTGTCCTCTTTTCCTTGAATTTGACCTACCAAATTAGACTAATCACCGATTTGTACCCACTGGAGCGACACGACAGGTGCTACATGTTGAGCAGGATCTGCTTACTCTGCCTTAACACCTGAGATCACCCCAGGTTTTTGGTGGGGTTTGTGTTGCTCAGTCTATTTTTATACGACAGCAAAAAAATTTTGCGGTCGTATATTGGTATGACGTTGGCGTCGTCGTCGTCGTCCGAAGACACATTGGTTTTCGCACTCTTTAGTTTAAGTGAATGGATCTCTATGAAATTTTACCATAAGGTTCAATACCACAAAAGGAAGGTGGGGATTGATTTTGGGGGTTATGGTACCAACAGTTAAGGAATTAGGGGCCAAAAATAAGTATTTTTGTAACATCAAGACATAACTTGTGTGTTAGTGTATGGATCTCTCTGACATTGTACCACAAGGTTCCATATCACCAAGGGAATGCTGGGATTGATTTTGGGGGTAATTGCCTCTTAATTTCAGGAATTAGGGGCCAAAAAGGGGCAAAAAACAAGCATTTTTCTAGTTTCATTACAATAACTTGTGTGTAAGTGTATGGATCTCTCTGACATTGTACCACAAAGTCCATATCACAAAGGGAATACTGGGATTGATTTTGGGGGTAATTGCCTCCAAATTTTAGGAATTAGGGGCCAAAAAGGGGCAAAAAATAAGCATTTTTCTAGTTTCCAGACAATAACTTGTGTTCAAGTGTATGGATCTCTCTGAAATTGTACTGCAAGGTACCATACCACAAAGAGAAGGCTGGGATTGAGTTTGGGGGTGATGAATCATAAGGGGGTTCAAAAAATTTGGGGGGGATTTTTTTTTCCTTTTTTTTCTTTAAAATTTTCCATTTTAAATTGGTTATTTCTGATTTATATATAAAAGCAAATAATAATGACATGGTTTGAATAGGTAAATTAAAAAATTTTAAGTTCTTAGACCACATTCATTCTGTGTCAGAAACCTATGCTGTGTCAAATATTTAATTACAATCCAAATTCAGTGCTGTATCAAGCTTGAATGTTGTGTCCATACTTGCCCCAACTGTTCAGGGTTCGACCTCTGCGGTCGTATCAAGCTGCGCCCCAGCGGAGCATTTTATTTTATGTTTATTTTATTTTTTTCAAAACACATAATGCATGCATAATATACAAAGGTATATAAATTATCCTTTACAGTGCAGATAATACAATGTCAGATAATTATAATTAAGTTAATTTCAACAATTTTTGTTGAGCCTCGCGAAAGCGAGACATAGCGATCCTAGATTCCGTTGTCGGCGGCATCAAGATTTAGGTTCAGTCTGTAGTTAAATTTTTTTGGGACATCAATAACTTTGTCAAACCTGCATGGAATTTTATGAAATTGGGACAGAAGCTTGTTTATTACCAAAATACAGTATCCAGGGCAAAATTTTTAAAATATTTATTTTCATTTTTCCGTATTTTACTAATAAATGGACTTAGTTTTTTTTACAGTTAACTTCAGATTTTGTCTGAGGTTAAAGTTTTTCAGTCATCAATAACTATATCAAACCTTCATGGAATTTTATAAAAGTTGGACAAAACTTGTTTATGACCAAAATATAGTATCCAGAGCAAAATTTTGGAAATGCTTATTTTCATTTTACCTTATTTTACTGATAAATGGACTTAGTATTTTTACAGTTAACAATTAGATACAGTCTGGGGTTAAAGTTTGTTACACATCAATTACTTTGTCAAAACTTCTTAGAGTTTTATGAAACTTTGACAGTAGCTTTTTAATGATTAAGAAATAATGTCTGAAGCAAACCTTTGAAAATATATTTTTTTAGTCCCATACCGACGAAGTCGAAGGGGACTTTAGGTTTGCACTCCATTTGTCTGTCTGTCAGTCCACCAAATCAGTTTTCCACACTTTTTTTCTTCGTGCTTGAAGATATTGATTTGATATTTAGTATATTGTTTTATCATGACAAGTTATAGATCAAGTTCGAATTTTGTTCCAGTCTGATAATTTTGTGCAGAGTTATGGTCCTTGGACTTAGAAAATTCACTCAAATATTCAGTTTTCCACACTTTTTTTACGTCATTCTTGAAGATATTGATTTAATAATTGGTACATTGTTTTATCATGACAAGTTACAGATCAAGTTCGAATTTTGTTCCGGTCTGATGATTTTGTGCAGAGTTATGGTCCTTGGACTTAGAAAATTCACTCAAATAATCAGTTTTCCACACCTTTTTTCGTCATGCTTGAAGATATTGATTTGATAATTGGTATATAGTTTTATCATGACAAGTTACAGACCAAGTTTGAATTTTGTTCCTGTCTAATGATTTTGTGCAGAGTTATGGTCCTTGGACTTAGAAAATTCACTTAAATAATCAGTTTTCCACACTTTTTTCATCATGCTTGAAGATATTGACTTGATATTTGTTCTATAGTTTACACCATGACAAGTTATAGATCAAGTTAGCAATTTTTCCAGTACTATTAATTTTTAACCGGTAGGGGACTATGTATTGCCATGCAATACTCTCAGAATGCTTGTTCATTTTTAGTATTTTTTCTGGACTTTATTTTTTACAGTTAACATTTACAGACAGTCTGGGATTAAATTTTTTTTACATGATAAATTTATAAACCTTCATGGATTGTTATGGAACATGGACTTCAAGACCAAGAAATAGCATCTAAAGAAAAAGTTTGAATTTTTTTTGGAATGCTGTATTTCACTGATAAATGGACTCACTTTTCAAGTCAACATTACACTTTTACACTGACAGCAGCAATTGCAGGCAAGCCATAGGGTTCCGTGGAACCCCTTATGAATTTTTATAATTACTATTTTCTCATTAACAGTTTAAGTTTTCTGCAGCAAACTAATTCATGTGTGTTTTGTTTTATTTTTATAGTTAAATTTTGAAGAAAAAAAAAATGGGAATAAGAAATTAACAGAAAAAAAAATATTTTTGCGGAAAAAATCAGAACAAGTATAATTTTGTAGGAGAAAAAAAGGAGGAAAATTTGATCATTGGTGGTTTTCTCTATATATCACTGCATTTATATGGGACTGGATTCAAGGCAGATGGAAAATAAAAAGTCAGATTTATTGTCCTGTCTTTAGTTTTCTATGTTGTGTTTTGTGTACTGTTGTTTGTCTTTTGGTCGTTTTTTGTTTGCCATGGCATTGTCAGTTTGTTTTCAACTTGTGAGTTAGAATGTCTCTTTGATATCTTTTGCCTCTTTCTTATACTATTGGTAGCAACTAACTTTTCAGGTCTATATAATGTCATTTTTAAAAGAATTACCAGTTGTATAATGCAAATATCTAATTATTTAAAATATTTTTTGTGTCTTTCAGAATCTTGGAAGCTCGTTGTTTACATGCAAAGAGAGAAATAAGTCATTAGAATTTGAAGTGGAAGATTTTAAGCAAAAACTTCATGATGCTAATGGAGACATTAAGGTACTTAGATGAATCAAAGCTCTTTACAAATATATATGGAAGTCACACAAACGTATCTTTTATTTCAATCCTGGCACCAATTTTCTGCTGATGAGTTTTAAATGAAAACAATTTTCCCTGCATCAAAAGAAGGGATAACCCAAACCTTATAAATGTTTTTACTCCTGAAAATCAACTTGAAACAGTGTGTTCAACTATTCAGTGTTTTGTTGTATATCTCTTTATATAAATGTAATGGATTTGAGTTGAGGAAACAGATATATTTAACACCCAAATTGTGAAGAAGCCATTCAATTGTCCAAATTTATTATACCCCAAGCAACACAGCATGCAACAAGGGTATACTGTATTTGAACTGTCCCTCTGTCTGTCCATCAGTCCTGTTCTTGTCACAGCAACTCCTCTGAAACCAAACAACAGAATTTCATGAAACTTTGTAGATAATAAGGACATAGTACTATGTAGATGTGCATATCGACAGGAAATTATGATTTATTGTTTTTTCTAGGAGTTCTGCCCCTTTGAACTTAGAATTTTGGCCTAAATATACTACTGCAACAGTTTGTCATCGCAACTCCTCTAAAACCACACAACATAATGTGATCAAACTTTGTGGATAATAAAGACATACTATGTAGATGTGCATAAGGACAAAAAATTATGATTCAATTCTTTTACCGTAATCAGCCTTGTATAATTCGCACTGGTACATTGTCCACACCCCCCTTCGCGCCACGAAAATTCAAGTAAAAAAACTTTTTGTAACTGTTCCAAAATGTCTAATGAAACTTTGGTAATTTCAAATCGTGTGTAATCGTTTGTGGTATTTTCATGCACGGTTACATTGGCACGAAGCTTTATTTCATTCCCCTTACAAAACTTCATTCTTTGTACAGCTTATGTTTGGAAACCACTGTTACAAATCCCAATTCAAACCAATACAAACTTACAGGTATCATCTTAGATATTGGCAGTCACAGACTTTTCAAATCAGTTTGCATTGGAAAAGATGAAAAGGAGAAAAAATCCTTTCTAAAACATCAACTTCATCATAAATCAGTTCACTCGAAAATACCTCCCTACTTTAAGATCAATCTGAACCTATCATCTCTTATACCTATACCAAACCAATTGCAACAAAAATACCAATTACAAACATGTGTTGCAGGATCTCAATATTGTCTCAACCTCCTGAGCGCACCTGTGCTAGTTCACATTTATTTATGATCTGGCTGGCCACATTATTACTGGTGTCCTGAACATTGTTAATAACACTTCTCTGCGAAACGTGTTATCCAAAGGCCTGAAATATGGTAAGCCTTAATCCATCAATTGGAAACACATCTGTCACATGTGTCAGTGGATTAAACATGAAAAGAAGACATAGACACTCTTTTTAAATGGTCTAAGGCTGTGAGGTCGTTGATACAAATTAGAATTAAAAACTTAATGGGTCTATTAAAACACATGCTACATCGACCTTTAAAGACCCAAATGTTGCTAAACACCTGTCTAACCTTCATTAATATGTTTCAGGTGAATCCCCACACAGCATTGTTTTTGTGTGTAGATCACATTACATAAACTGCTTGATAAAAGAATTATGTATTGACAATTCACTTTGAAACTCGACATATACCCCATCACCAAAACCAAGGAGGAAATCCTGAATAATTATAGGTCAATGTTTTATGTTACTTTTGATTTCAACCAAAGATGACGAACTGGATATTTCATCACTTTATTGATTACCTAAATTACATAAGTGTCCTTACAAACAACGTTATATTACTGGGTTGTCCATGTGCTCCACAAAACTATTAACATCAATTTTATCAGAAATCAAAGCCAGGCTTCAAAGTTATTGTGAAACTACCTACTCTAGGGGTGGTGTGAATCAGATGTGGATACTAAAAATTTTTGAAGATCTATTGCAGTACATACAATCTAAGACTCTTTCATCTTGCAATAGTATTAAAAAATTTGACTTTTCTACCCTTTACACAAGTATTCCCCATTCCAAACTAAAATAGAAATTAAAGAGAATTGGTCCTGCCTTGTCTCGCCTGCTACGAAAGTCGTAGGGATTACAATTCGGCAGCGACTTGTTTTAAGCTTTATACATCAGAAGGTAGAAGACCAGGATGCTTCATACCTTGTTAAAGATACCTTATGTTACAAATTTTTCTGTCTGTCATATGTCCATTGTCTTTGACCTCATTTTCATGGTTTAGTGACTGCTTGAAAAAAAATTACAGTTTTTTGTTTAGTGAAATACTCACTTATTATGGGTAATAGGATAACTATATTTGGTATATTGGTCCCTTGCAACGTCTACATGTTCGTCAGGTAGAGTTCACCTGACCTCAACCTCATTTCATGGTCAAGTTCGTATCTCAGAAACTATAAGCATTAGGTCAACTATATTTGGTGTATGGAAATTGTATTTTAAAGGTGTACATGTCCCACTATCAGGTTTCATTTGATCTTGACCTCAATTTCATTGGACAATGTTTAGTTTCTGTGGTTTGGTTTATTTCTCATATATTTTAAGCAATAGGTCAATTATATTTGGTGAATAGAATGATTGTAAGGTGTACATATAAAAATGAGACAACTATCCACCAAAGTTCAAATGAAGTGGATGTCTGTCTAGCAGGGTTCATATGACCTTGACCTCATTTTCATGGTTCATTGGTCAATGATAAGTTTTCCTAATTTTGTCATTTTTAACCGGAATTTTCGAAGGAAATATGGGTTATTGATTTGGGGATGTAGGGCGGGCGGGCGGGCGGGTGGGGTATTGGACGGGTGACTGCCAAACAGTGTCTCTTCAATAACATGAAAACGCTGTGATGGTTTTTTTTCAAATTTAAATATGTTGTTTCTTGTGACTAAATGAAGGTCAAGTTCAATTTTCACGATTTATGTATTTCTCCTTTTTGAGTTATCGCCATTTTCAATATCCAAAAGTGGTATTTTTAAATATTTTTCTCTTGTTATCATATTATGACTAAGCAGATGGAAAATGTCTTATCTCACAATAAAAATTGGAGTGACAGATTTATTTGAAAATTTTCTATTTCCTAAGTGGTGGTGATTATAAGCTATATTATTAGACATTTTGAAGCTTATTACATTATTTAATTATTATATATGTAATGTTAGAGTACTATGTTAAACCATAGTTCTGTTCAAAGGGAAATAACCATTCAGATTTGCAAGTATGATTTTCATTATTAATTAGATCTGGGAAATATCTTATCATATGATAATCATTGGAGTGACAGATTTATTTGAACATTTTCTGTTTCCTGATAAGATCTGTAGGACTGTATATATAGTTTGAAATTTACAAGTAGGACTGTATAAATGAAGTTTGAAATTTTCTGTTCATTATTAGACATTTTGTAGATAATTAATAGTCCAGTGAGATTGCCGTTTGACCCAGAACAAATTGCAACAGAAAAAATAAAGACGTTAAAATATTCACCTTCCATCTCCATACAATACAGAAAACATCGCCACCATAATACACTGTTTTTCACAAATAATACATTATAAAATTTTTTTTAAAAATTATGACACCAACGCTGATCCATAGCCGATCCGGTATTTAGAATTTTGTTTATCATGACGTCAAACATGACGACAGAAAGAAAGGAAATTGTTTCAAAGACGAAATTTTGTAAGTATTACAATACAATGAACTTATTCTTTATGATTATGATTCAATTAAACCCAATTTAGTGTCAATCAACCCTGATTGAGATGGTTTTAATCCGCGTCTATAATTAGCAGACGCTATCTTCCCAAGATGCAACACTCAACAAAAACAATTTGCCTTTTACTTTGTTTTATACCAAACCTTTTAGAGATTCTAATAAGTTACAAGTAATTTAATGAAATAGCCATATCTAGTTAAAAGAAACTTGTTTATGATGTGAAATTTTTTAAAATCGTGAAATGGGGGTTGCTGACGAAAAATTAATCTATGGAACGCCGGTTTAACATTTATAAAAGTCAAAAATTTTATATTTGCGATTTTTTCTATTTTGCTGCTTGTTTAGTGTAATACTAATTAGCGGATAAGTTCTTATTTGTTCTTTTTCACTTTTTTTGCAGCTTACTACGTGAAATGAAGCATAATTATTATAAGCAACCCAAACTAAGAACTATGAGGAGTTTACTGTAATAAATCGTAAAAAAGGGTAAGTTTAATTTACAGAAATCAATTTATTATTATTTATTAATCGACTATTATCATTACTATTTTTTTATCTAATACTCTTATTTCTATATTAATAAAAAAAAATAATTTATTTACTAGTTTTACATGAACAAAGAGCTTTTAATTAGGCAAATCAAACATTTAATTGCCTATATACTATTTTTTTAAGTGGACAAATGTTGCTTAGTAGTTATTATTGTTACACAACATACAATATTTTAAAAACTTATTTTTTACAGACACTTCTTGATGTTGATATTCCAATGGCATCATCTGAAATCTCGAGTAAACCTGCCTCTGTAAAATTATCAGGTAAAGTAGAAACAAATATATGAAATAGATTTTAACACACCTAACTGCACCAAATAAAAATAACAGGATACCAATTTCAACAGTCATCGACTTTTAAAAACCAAACAGAGGAATAACAAATATACATCTTGGATGCTTTTTAACACAATAATACAAAACGTATTTGTTTTTTAGGCTTAGGATAGAAAATTTATGATATATGTATATAAATCTTCATTACTGTAGATGAATGAATAAGCGCTCCTAGTAGTTTAAAAGAACAATCTTTCTGTATAAGATAAAACCATGACCAATTTATGAAAAAAAGAAGTAACTTGAACATTTTGAATGTAGATTGCTCATAAATTATCTTCTTTCTGTATTTTGTAATTTAATAATTCCTTATCTTTTTTTTTCAGATGAAGAACTATTACAGATTGATATGGAACCAAAATGCGTTTTTTGCAAACAGCCCCTT